CCGGCTCCGTCCCAGGTACAGCAAGACAGGCAGGGTGGGAAACACACCCCAAAGGCCCTGCCACAGCTCTCTGTGGGGAGGCCGAAGCCTCTACTCCTGGGCTCTCGGACCCCTCCCTCCCAGCCAGGAAGGGGCATGGGGAGGGGCCTCCTCCCTCCCAGGCACCAGACTCCAGGGGAGTCACACCCCCAGAGAGGACCCCCTTGTGCCCATGGGGCCTCCCCACTGCAAGGAACCCTCAGGGCAGGGAGATGGAGGTGGGCAGCTGGGAAGGGAGGCCAGTCTCCCTGAATGGCCTCTAGAGCCTGGAGCCGCACTGATCCACCTGGAACAACCTGGGGGAGGGGTTAGGGAGGGGCAAAAGTAAAGCTCTCTGAGTCTAGCGGGGCATCCAGCAGCAGAGGGGCAGAGGACGGTGGCCTTGCCAGGAGGACACGTCCACCAGAGCAGGCACTGGGGACCAGCTGGAGGCTGCATGAAACCCTGGCTCCAGGGGAATCTGGGTGAAAGAAACAGAACCTCCAGGGGGTCCACATGGACCCTCACCTCCCCAGCAGCAGGCCCACTGGTTAGACTGGTCACACACTGGCCCAGCAGGAAACAAGGCATCCATACTAGAAGTCACAGGTTCAAATCCCGACTCCCTCATGCACTGAGAGGGAAGTAACTCGATCCCTTGGTGCCTCGGTTTCCTCATCTTTGAGATAGAAACAGTGAACAGACCTACTTTGTCAGGCGGGTATGCAGTGCCTACAGAGTTGGCCTAGCAGGGGCCATAAGGATCATTCTAGAAGGGCCCTCTGGCTTGAGGCCTGGTGCAGGAAGAGCACTGGAAACGCTGAGGCCTACACACGCTGTGTGCACTCACCTGTACCACCTCCCCAGACGAGCCCCAGTAGGGCCAAGATCAACACCCGGGCTGAGGGTGACTCATCACCCCGGGTGGAACAAGTTTCCTGGAACAAGTCCCCACAGGTAGGTCAGGGGCTCCTTGGAGCACAGTGCACACCGGAGTCTAGTGGAGAGGAGGGTCCCACAGGCCTGGGGCTCACCCAGCACTGGCCGCCCACAGAGTCTCAGTGTCCACCTCTGAGCCAGGAAGTGGACACAGCCTGGTGGGAACGGCTGCAGGTCTGAGGGGGGATGTAAGTGTGGGGACCAGGGCCTCACAGCACCCACTGCTGGCACAACTGCTGAGGGCCCAGGCTTTGCCAAGGTCCTCTGTCCTTTCTCCCCATTGTGCACCTTGAAAGCCACCAATGGGGAGATGCTGGGGTCCTGGTCCCCCAAGAGTGGTCACCGTAACTCAAGTTTGTCTGGAGAGGGGCCATCCCAGGGGGCACCTACTGGAGGTGGCATTCACTTGGGCTCTGAGGGGTCAGTAGGAGTTCCTGGACCCTGAGGTCCAGCCCCACTGGCTGGCTGGCTGGCTACTGTCCAGCCCTTAAAGCACTCAGGAAGCTGAGGCAAGAGGATCACAAGTTCAAGGCCAGCCTGAGCTAGACAATGAGACTGCCTCAAAAAAATGAAAGAACAAGGAAAGTCTCAGTTGCAGGATTTATCTGGCCTCAGTTTTGACATAAGAAAAAAGGACACAGTGTTCTTCCTTTCCTTGTGGGGCCATGGGGAGGAGGCCCTGGACAAAGCAGGTATGTGGGAGGACGGGCTTCCGGCCTTCCTCTGCTCTTCGGCTCAGCTCGAGGCTGGCTGGTGCCCGGGGAAGGAGGCCATGGCCTGAATCCTGATGTGGCCCCCAGCACCATCAAATAGAGTAGGGTTGCTTCTGCTCACCATGGTAACAACGCATGGAGCCTGCTACCTGGTAAATAGTAGGTGCTCAAGAAGAGGGGGATGAGTTCATGAGGAGTCGCAGCAATGAAGCCTGACATGCAGGCCGTGAGGAGACTGCAGCCACAGGGAGGGTGAGGCTGTACTCCTGACCACTTCCTGTCTGAAGACGGGAATGTGCACTTTGAACTCCGTTTCCTGAGCCCTCTCCCCACTCCAGGGTCTCTGGAGGAGGAGGGAGAGGCCTCCTCATCCACGGGGCGGATACTCACATTCCTGCAGGAGGACAGCACCTGGGAGCCCAGCCACCTGCACAGGGCCTGAGGGAAGGCCCCACAGTCCCGCTTGGCCTGCGGCACGTGGGCTTCCAGGAAGGCAGCGTGGCACCCGACCATCTTGATGAAGGCCTGGTGGGAGAGGGAGAAGAGCCATGACTCTACATCTGCCTGCCGGAAGGGACGCTAGGCCCTTAAACACTACCAACAGCCTCCCTCCGAACAGACCCATGGGCTCCCCAGGCCCGCTGTGCCAGAGGGACACCTTCAGAAACTGAAAGCAACAATGCCAGCTCCCACCTCCCACAGTGACACTACTTTTCGCCTCTATGTGCAGGGGACAATGGAGGCTCAGAGAGGCAGTGTCACCTCCTCACAGGCACACAGCCAGGAAGTGGCAGAGAGGAGATCTGCGGCACATCTGTCAGATTGTGAAGCCCTTTTTAATTGAAGATGGATCTTTTAGAAATTGCCTGAAAGCTCACTTTAATAGCTGATATAGATTGGAACTCAGAAGCTTCTGGGAGCCAGGCAGGGAGCAGAGAGGGATGAGAGGGGAACTGGAATGCTGGGTCCGTTCCACAGTGGCCACCCAGTTCCAGGCCTCAAGGGAAGAGCTTCCAACCCGAGATAAAAGTGCTCAGAGTCCAGACTGTCTGGATTAGAATCCAGGTTCTGCCTGCCACTCCCTAGCTGTACACCTCCTCGTGAGTCCTCTGACCTCTGTCAGTCTGTTTTCTCATCTATAAAATGGGAACAGTAACACCAATCTTGTTAAATAAATGAAGTGCTTAGCACATACTTAAGAGCCCATTAAATGTCAGCCACCATCATTTTAAAAAGAAAGAAAAGGACAGTCCAATTTTATGAAGTTTCTGGTTTTTATCAACACTAACTATAAATCCACACTTGAAAGAGCATGGTGCAAGCCCAGGAAAATTAAAAACAGCCATTTGTGACCTCCAGTGTGCCTTTCAGACCTTCCTCTGTGCTGGGTCCTCCGTGTGTGTCTGTGTACGTGGGCAGCAAGGTCACCACACACGGCAGCTACAGAGCCGTCTCAGACAAGGCCGCACCACTCTGGGCCTCCCCTTGTTCCAGCAATCAGCTGTGTCCCCCTCAGAGGTCCCACTACACCTGGCCTCACTCGGCTACCTGAGCAGACACGAAGTCACCCCGATTCCCTGATCTCCTCTGCGATCCCCGTCCCTTCCAGCACACAGGTTCTAAGGGACCCCCTCCCCACCCTGTGCCCCGGCCCCGCACTGCCTGCTCGGGCCGCGCTGTGTGCACAAGCGTGCTCATGAACGAAGGGTGAGTGAGTGATTCGGCCTCACAGAGACTGGACAGACCCAAGGAGGTGGCATCTGTGGTGCTTCGGTGGCCCTGAGGTTCTGGTTCTGGCTGCAGCAGGGTAAAAGGGTGGATCAGCCACGGGGGGGGGGGGTGTGCACGCGTACACATGCATGTACATGCAGTGGGTGGGTCACAGGGCTGCAGCTGGGGAGCTGCATCTGTCCCTGCCCTGGAGCTGGAGGCTCAGGGCCTCCCATCTAGCCATAAACACAGAAGAAAGCCCCCTCCCATCCTGTCCCAGAGCCGCTTCCAATTTTCCGCTTGCTACACTAACGCTGGTCTGGAGTGAGCTGCTGGCAGAGGAGCGTGAACGTCTGCAGCCCGTGCCGAGCTGGGCAGCCCAGCCAAGCCACCACAGGGAGGACGAGCCCTGAGCCCTCAGGGCTGCAGGAAGCCAGCGATGCACTCACCATCCACACAGACGGACGGGGACCATGGATCTCCACCGCCCAGAGGGCTGGAGCCGGGAGCCGGGAGCCGGGTAACTTCCACGCATCTTTCTGCTCAGTGAAATGTGCTACTGATCAGTCAGCAGGTGGGAAGGAAAGGAGGGCAGCCTGTTGGTAAAACTGTATTTACAAGTACTGAGCAAAGTGAACACTTTCGGCAAAGACCCTGCCCAGAAAAGGGTCCGACGTTCAGCACCGGGGGGGCACAGAATGCGGCCAGTTCTCCCACTTCCTGCTGTGTGACCGAGGCCAAGTCACTTCTCTCTCAGTTGCTCCCAAGGAGGCCGTGAGTTGCCCTGAGGTCTTGCTGGGAAACCGGGACAGTCTGTGGCTGGCAGAGGCACACAGGAAGTGACACTGGTCAAGGGCCACCCTGGTGAGCACTGATCCGGAGGGCAGGGTGGGCTTTGGCCCTGTGGGAGCCACTGAAACAGTAGCCACCTCAGGGCCGAGGTGGGCATAACAGGGCGGGGACGTCACCCTGGATAGATGCCACCTCTCTTGGCCCAGCGGCGAGGACTGCAGCCACCAAGACAAGCATCTGTCCTCACAGGGCTCCCAAGGCGAGCAGGTGCCGACCTCACTCCCGCCACCCTCGAGACTTTGAGAGACAGGTGAGACATTCCTAGCTGACAGAGGAGGAAACTGAAGTAGCGAGTCACCAAAGAGCCAGACCCAGCTGGCTCTGGAATTCACCTGTCCCGGTACATTAGGTTCTCAATGGGTTCCTACGTTTTCCGGTTGTGACGTCACACACTTTAGCTACAGGAAAATACAAACCTCTCATTTGCCTTAAAATCTATGATCAAGGGCCAGGGATTTAGCTCAGTGGTTCTGCTGCCTGCTTCGCAAGCACAAGGATCAGAGTTTGATCCCTGGCACCAAAAAAAGAAAAAAAAAAATCTATGACCTCTTGGGCTGGGGATTTAGCTCAGTGGTTCTGCTGCCTGCCTCAAAATCACAAGGTCCCATGTTCGATCCCCAGTACCAAAAAAAATTTATGACCTCTCTTGGACAACTTCAGGGCCCTCCTGCATTCATTCCCTTCATTCATTCATTCATGCATGCATGCATGCTACTGGGAACTGAACCCAGGGCCTTTACACCGAGCTGTATCCTCAGGCCTTTAAAAAATTTTTTGTTTGTTTGTTTTTGGTACCAGAGATTGAACTTGGGACATTGCACTTGCATGGCAGGCGCAGGAACCACTGAGCTAAATCCCTGGCCCCGATTTTCTTTAAATTTTGAGATAAGATCTCGCTAAATGCACAAGCTAAGCTCCAACTTGAAACCCTCCTGCCTCAGCCTCCCAAGTAGGTAGGATTACAGGCACGTGCCACTGCACCCAGCACCCCCTGCTTTTTTTTTCCCCCTTGCTTTTAATAGCAACCCAATTACAGAGAATTCTGTAGAATTTCAATAGCACCAGGGTGTTTAATTAGGGTAAGCGCCACTGAGTCTCAAAGTCAGACAGAGTCCAGGGCGGAGTGGGGACTGTGGCATTCCACAGACTCACACCCCATGGAAGAGGACAGTTACAGCTCAGCTTTTCCAGAGAGGAGTGGGGAGGCTCAGAGTTGGGCTTCTAACCCTGGCCCTTAGCATTCACACTCGCCAGCTTCATCTAAAGCTGATGTCAATTTTTCCTAGACATCTAAAATGCAGAAGCCAGGGCCGGGAATTTAGCTCAGTGGTTCTGCCGCTTGCCTTGCAAGCACAAGGACCGGAGTTCAATCCCCGGTACCAAAATGAAATAAAATGCAGAAGCCAATTGTTTGAGAACAATTTAGAAGTCCCTAAAAAGAGCAACCATAGACCCAGCAAATCTACCCGTAGGTCCTGACCTCCGGCAAATGAAAGCACACGACTGCATGAACACCGGGAACACTCAAGGAAGCATTATTCCCAACAGCCCCAAAGCGGAAGCTACCCAAATGCAAATCAGCCGGGGAACAGACAAACAGAACGTGGCCCATCCAAGGGACAGAGTGGTGTCTAGCCATCAAGGGAACGGGCGTCCTGACGGGGCTATAACGTGCGAGGACCTCCTCGGCCATCATGAGAGCTCAGTGAATGGTGGCAGATATAGAAGAACACTCACGACACACTTCCATTATTGTGAAACACTGGACTGGGCAGAAGTCACAGGCACAGAAAGACAAGGGGCTGGGGAATGCTACTGGACACGGAGTCTCTTTTGGAAAAATAATCTGGAATGGGAGTGTGGTGATGGTTGTACAACCTTGAGATACACCCAGGCCTCTGAATGAGACACTGTCACTTCCCTTGTCACTGGGACACAATACCCAACCCCCACCACCTAGCGGAGGAGAGGTTCATTCTGGTTCATGTGATCAGTCCACGGCCAGCAGCTGCAGGGCAGAATCAGCATGGCAGAGGGGCACAGCGAGGAGGGCTGCTCACATCATGGTGGCCAGGAAGCGGAGAGAAGTGGGGAGCAGGAAAGGACACCCCCCCTGTGACCTGCCTCTTCCCACCAGGCCCCACTCCAACTGCAGGCCAGCCGTGTGGGCCCCACATCCAGCCACCTCCCCAAAACCCCAGTTCTGAGCATACAGTCTTTGGGGAATGTTCTCCACCTAAACTCTAACAAACACTCTAAGGACACAGTGGTGCCCCTTCTCTACAGGGGACACTTTCCAAGGTCCCCAAGGGATGCCTGAGGCTGGGAGTACCACTGAGCCTTACAGATACCTATTTCTCCCTATACTAACTTATAGTAAAGTTAAATTTATAATTTAGGAACAATAAGAAATTAGCAACAAGATAATTAAATAGACTAATTCTAACAATATACTGTAATAAAAGCTATGTGAGTATGATCATGCTCTTTCTCTTCCTTTTCTTGTCCTTGAACACAAGCCCTGAGATCCTGCAACAGTGATACCCGAAATGGCTTGGAAGTAACTTCTGGGAAGGAGGGCTGTAGGAAGAGATGATTCACATCCTGGGCAGGACAGCATGGGATCTCACGCATAAAATGTAAAACTTATGAATTGGTTATTTCTAGAATTTTCCACTTAATGTTTCTAGACCAAGGTTGACCACAGGTAACCAAAACCATGGGAGCTTAAGCCAGGGATAAGGGGGGACTGCTGTAATCCATCTGGACTTCCTCATGGGGAAAGACTACAGCAGCTACAACCCCTTTAAGGACCCTGCCATTCTTGAAGCAGGGTCCAAGTGTTGTGACCCCTGGCCCTGTGCCATCAGCCTGCACTCATCCCTGACCTGGAACAGGAAGGCCTCAGGGCCTTTGCACCAGCCATTCCCTCCCCAGGCTCACTGCTCCATATTCCAGGCTTGGCAGAAAGCTTGTGCCCCACAGCCCTATCTGCCCTTGCTCGACTCAGCCCCTTGCTTGTTCCCAGTCAGCTGTCACACCCAGCCTCCAGGGTGACAGCAGGAGACAAGGAGCCCCACCTCAGCTCTGCCTGGCACCTGTCTCAGGGTAGCCCAGAGTTCAATAGGTGTTGAATGTGGTCAGGGGGTGGAGTGAAGACCTGGATCTCACACAGGAAGTGAAGGCTCACGCACCCGGAAGAGGCAGCCCCAAGATCTGCCCTGCGGGGTGGACTTCAGACAACACCTGTCCCATCCTGAAGGGTTTCCCAGCCTGAAGTATCAACAGGGCTGAGGCGGAGGCCCACCGAGCACACGCACGCCTCACCACTCGGCCGCTGTCCCTTCCTTGGCCTCCTGGGGATAAAGTTCCGAGGAACCTGCCCTGGCTCCTGCGCCAGTTTGTCCAGCCCCACTAGGTCACATCCACCCTGGCTCCATCATCAGGCCTCCCAGGATTCCGCCGGTGTCCTGGCATCCTTTCTACCCCAGCCCAGCCCACACAGCTGCCCCCGACCTAGGGACCTAGAGCCACTCCCGGCCTCACTTCCCTGCACCCGCCCAGCCTCGTCCATCTTGGTAACTGTGGTGGGCAGAACGATGGGCCCAAAGATGCTCACGTCCGAGACCCCAGCTCGAGTAGGCACCCTACCTCCCTGGGAAGACGGGACTCTGAGCTGGGATGAGCTTGAGCCACTGGTGGCGCATGTGTGACTGTCCCACGCCTCCCAATGGGGGTTGAGCTGCCCGCCAGGGAGATGCAAATTATGGCTCTATCATGAATGTGACGAGCTGAGGGCCTTGGCCTGGCAGAATGCCCTGCATTGCCCAGGTGGGCCCCGAGCCCTAGTCAAGGGTCCTTGCACGAGGGAGGCAGGTGAGGGCTCAGAGGAGAAGAAGCTGAGGCAGTGACGCTGTGGGCTTTTAAGACAGAGGAAGTGGCCGCTAGGAGCTGAAACAGGAGAGGTCCTAGAGGTTCTTTCCTAGAGCCTGCAGGACCACCCTGCAGCACCTTGCCCTCAGCTCCAAGGCGAGTTCTGGGCTTCCGGTCTCTGGGGCTGTTAAGATAATAACTGCAGGCTGTTGGAAGCCATGAAGTTTTTGGCAATTTGTTACAGCGGCAACAGGAAAGCAACACAGCAATGCTTGCTGAGGGTGTCTTTTGGTGGGACCACAGCCTGTCCTTCTCACTTCTCATCCTTGGTGATGCATAGTAGGCCCCAAATAAATGGAGTGGACCGAAGGCTAAGAAAAGAATCGGACTCCAGCTGGCCCAACCCAGGCAAGGCAGGAACCAGTGCTTCGGATCTTCACATTTTCATTCCTCTTTCAAACGTGTGGAATAAAATTCAAATGAATCAGCTATTTCAAGGGCAAAGTTTTAATTATATTCCTGCTCCATTCTCTGCTGACAAGAATGTTAATTCTCTGCTAAGTCAATACTGAGTGCCACGCTCACTCCCTCTGCAGCTCGGAGTGGCCCATGTCCCCTCTGGCCAGGGGACCACTACAACTGCAAGACCCCAGGCCTTCTGGTCCAGGCCATGGCCCCAGGTCCACAAAGAGGTTCAGCTCTGCAGAATGCACGCAGAGCCCCAGCTTCTCACAGTGTGTTCTATGGCCCCAGGGAGGGGCTTACTGCTCAGAGCTGATGCTCCTGCTCTGAGAGACAGGGAAATGAGATACTGTGTACCTTAACCTGGTGTCCAGGCAAATGCAAGATGAGTAAGTCAGCAGACGGGCAGCAGGGCTCGGTGGGGCTGGGGTACGCTGAAGAGCTCTGTACCTTCCGAGGGGCAGCTACTTCTGGCTCTATCTGCTCTCGCACGCACACTGCAGGGATGCAGCCTACAGCCTGCAAATGTTGCTTCCCCGTCCGGGTCGTGTTAGGGTTGAAATATGACGCGTTCCCCAAAGTGTCATGTGTTGCAGCAATGTTCAGAGGCGAGGCCTCGAGTGATGACTGGGTCGTCAATGGCTTAACCCACTGACAAGTTCATGGCTGAGTATGCTCTTAGGAGGTGGGGCCTATTGGGGAGTGTGCCTTTGAAGGGTAGATCTTGTCCCCAAGCCCTTCCTCTCTGGCTCTCTTCCTGTTCTCTCCCTGTGCCTCCACTGCCCTGAAGTGAAGAGCATTCCTCCACCATGCCCTTCCACCATGATGTTTCTGCCTTGGACTCAGCTGGATCCTCTAAAACCAGGAGCCAAAATAAACTTCCTTCCTGCAAGTTGTATATATTAGGTATTTCATCCCAGTGACAGAAAGCTAATCCACGTCATCTTTACATGGTGTTGATGTGAACATTCACTGAACTGTACACCTGCGATGTGTCCGCTTGATATATTTATGCTTTGACAAATGACCAGATTAAAGTACTTAAAGAAATGTGGACCTGAGGTTATCAATCTTTGAATTTTCAAAAGAAGCTTCAAATTCAGATTTTTAGATGGAGTAGCTTTGTCATTTAAAAAAAAACACCAAGTGAGGGTAGCCCTCCACTCACCCGGACTCTCCACTGGGCCCAGCGCCAACACTCAAGGACACATCAGTGTCTCGGAAGAGAGGGCAAAGGCCTGACCGAGCCTGCTGTCTCGTGGGGAAACCATGTTTTCCTGCGTGCACCCCAAGCCGGTCCACTTTGCCATAGATGCCCCGCACTTCTGTCCCTTGGGCCTTAAGGAGTGGGATGCTCTCCTCTAAGATCTGTGAAGTGTCGCTCCTGATCTGGAAAATAAAGTGCTCGTGAGCCTCTCTGCCCTGGCACCGTGTCCTTCACCTGCCTGAGAGGTGGCTGGAGTCTGTGCGGACCCCGTTGGAGACCAGGATGTCACACAGCACCCTGCCCAAGGTCAGGTCCAGGAACAACCAGAGCCCAGGTGGGGACCAACGTCACCTCCCGGGACCCAGACCCACCCAATTATTATTTACTGAATTGGCAAATTCATCTTCCCCCCACAAACAGCCAGCAACACAAACTCCCAAACTAAATATCTTCATTTTCTAATCCACTGATCTGGAGCAAATGGAAGAACCAAAATCTTTTCTCTAAACCAAAGTCAGGGTGTAAGTCCTGTTTTCAATGCACTGGAATTAACATTAACGGGGGGATAATTATCACCAACGTTCATGGAGCCCACATGGGCCAAAGTGCTCCCAGCACACAGGCTCCATGCTAAGCGCTTCCTTGTACCATCTCATTTAACTTCAACTTCTTCTTGGAAGTACTGGAAATGGGATGGTGAGCTTTGAGAAGCCACATCCTTTCATGAGTGAAGTTAGACACTGACACCTCCATTTTCCTTCAAAGCCTTAGGACCAAGCCTTCTGTCCTGAAAGGGGAGGGATGGAGAGAGGGAGAGATTCCACAGGGCTCCCAAGTTCAAGGCAGCATCCAAACCCCCTAGGGCAGTGGTGGCAAACCTATGGCACAAGCGCCCCCGCGGGCTGTTTGTACATTGAAAAGTATCACTGAAAGCTCTACACATCCGGAGCTGAACTCTGGATTCAGGCTGAAGTCTGAATTTAGCTCTGCCCACTGGGAGCTGCGTGACCCTAGACAATCTCAGTCTCTCTCTGAGCCCTCTTCCTTATCTGGACAGTGACATCACAGTCTTTCCTCCTTTGGGATGCTGTAAAGATGAAATGTTCCTTGAAGTGCCGAGATGGGTATAGCTGGTTTGCGCTTCTCGTCCCCAGTGATGCCTGCCTCCAGGTACCCATGCTGTATGAGTCCCTTCTACAGCACAGTGGGACCTCATGACTTCCTTCTCAGTAAGGGCAACAGCCAAGGAGACAAAATGTCACTCTCAAGACTAGGTTCCAGAAGATTGTCTCCCACAAACCTTTTTTTTTTGGTACGGGGGATCGAACTCGGGACCTTCCACTTTCAAGGCAGGCAGTGGAACCAATGAGCTAAATCCCGGGCAAGACTGTCTCCCTTAGCCTGCTGGCACATCCTCTCATCGGCTCGGCTGTGTGTCCTCTCCCTCACACTGCCCTCATTTCGTGCTCTGCTGGAGCAAGGCGCCAGGTTGCAGGGCACATGGCTAGGCACTGAGGCAGCCTCCAGACGCCAGCCTGTGAGGGGCTGGGTCCGGCCACAACCTGATTTGGCCTGCAGTGGATCCTGCCCAGTCTCCATGTGATGACATAGCCCTGGCCAAACCACTGGGCAAGTTTCTGACCCCAGAAATGGCTACCTCATACAGACTGCTGCATCCAAAAAGGGCCACTCTTTGGGATAATGTGCTATGCATCGACAGGTAACTAACAGGGTGACGGCTTGGTATAAAATTCTAATTTAAACAATATTTTGAAAACTGTACCTGTTTTTCCTCTTTCCGCCTAAGTGCATGAGACCTTCTATGGAAATGTGCTCCTACCACTGCTCAGGATGGCCTCTCCCTTGCCCCGGTCTTTTAGAGCCCTGTCACTAGGTCGCTGGGGACTCTCGCCCCACTGCCCTGCCAGTCTCTCTCCACACCCCTCCTCCCTGGTGGTATCGGCCATCAGGCTGCCTGGCCTTGATCTCTAGCCTGGCCCTTCTTCACCAGGAGGAGCCGGGCCAGGCCTGAGCTGCTCTGTGCCTCAGTCTCCCCATCTGTAACAAGGGATGCATGGTAGCGCTTCTCCCAGGGGACTGCTGTGAGGGTGTCACAGAGTCATCAGTTCCCACACATGCACCCAACTGGCTCACAAAGGTTCTGGTATTTTAACTTTATTTCCAACTTTAAAATTCCAGTGGGGCTCCTAGGAGAAATGGCTGGTGCTAGTGCTGGGCCAGGGGATTACATGAGGAGTCCAGAGCACCTCGTAACACCTGCAAGTGAGGCAGTGCTAAAAAGAGAAAGAAAGGCAGGCGGCATATCAAAGGGACTCAGAAGCTGGGCATCATGGCACAGGCCTGTAATCCCAGCACTCAGGAGGTTGAGGCAGGAGGATCGCTGGGACTTCGAGGCCAGCTTGGGCTACAAAATGAGTCCAAGGCCAACCTTAACTGCATAGTGAGACCCTGTCTCAAAAAAGACCAAAAAGGGACCCAGGCCCCAACCTGAAAGAGCAAAGCAGCCAGAGCTGGGTCAATCTGAGCAGGAACACAAATGGCAAAGGCTAGATTACAACCCGAAGCATAAAGTGAGCACACTTCGCCCCTCGCCCACAGGTAATGTCTGCAGCTGGTCAACCAACTGCTGATGCTGCTGGTGAGATGGTAAATGCAGGGTTATCTGGAAACTCTGAGCAATCTTTGCCATTTTTCTGTAAATCTGAAACTATTCCAAAGTAAAATACAGAAATGTCGCTTTTGAAACTTTGCAGCAATCAGGTCTAGATTTACACCTTCCTAGCAATGTTCGCAGGGCCAGGGCTGAGCTTCAGCAAGCACTGTAGTGGGCAGCTACTCCAGATGGACCCGAGCTCGCTTCCCAGGTCCCGCCCCTCCCTAGTGTCCTGTCCCTGCCCCAGCTCCTGCCCCTGCCCTGACTGGCACCTGGAGGGCCCTGCACTTGTTACCAGGGACAAGGAAAAGCCCTTGGGATCCTCCCTTTCTTCCCCAAGGCTGACTTTCTAGAGAAGCCCATCCTCAAGGAGGCTAAAGTCTGGAGACAACTGCATGATGTGACAGAGAGTGGATAATTACCTCTGAGGCAAGGTCAGACTGCAGCGGAACACACACACGTCTTTTCTTCTGTTAACTCTAAGGAAACAGGGAGTGAGGGCGAAGGGGATGGGCTGGGCTGAGCAAAGGGAAGGTGGGGAGGTGACTCCAGGAGACTCCCCACTCTCTTCTGAATCCAGGGAAGGTGAGGAAGAGGGGCCTGGGGCTGAGCAGGGAGTCCCTACCTGCATGCAGCTTCTCCAGCAGCTGGAACTGTAGGCAGCTGTGCTGTACATCTGCCTGAAGGCTCCTGCAGCTACTTAGCATGAGGGATGGCAAGCCAAGATGACCCCACATCTTGTTTAGGGTCCCCCCCGAGGGCTGGGAGCAATAAAGCAACTTCAGGGTCATTTAATGCCAGGCCCATCAAGAAGGGCACAAAACCAACAGACTGCACTCCATGAGGGCACGCCAGGAACAGAGCTGCGAAGCGAGAACTAGTTTATCCCCAACTGAGGCTCAGAGAAACAGATGAGCAGACCCCAGGGCATGGAGCTAGACAGTGGGAGACAGAGGATTCCAGCCCCCCAACACCAGACGTGTTCTCCCAGGCCGGTGCTGTCAGCTTGGTCACAGCTAAAACAAAACCAAAAGCACAACCAAATGAGATGCCAAGATCTCGAATGCAGGACATCTCCCTAAAAGCCAAGATTTGTGGGTTTTTGTGAAAAGCCTCAAGAGCTGGCCACACTGAGCCCGAGTTCTGCACAGCCACAAACAGGTGGAGCGGGCGACAGCTGCCCCTCCGGCTAACCAGTGGCCCCCAACACGGAGCCCACAGCACCCAGCACTTTCTCAGAGGTGAATCAGAGGAGGACACATTTCTCCGGTCACATCCAACCCACTTCCATCGCCATGTGACAGGCGCCCGAGTGTACGCTGAGCTGCACTCTGAGACGAGCAAAGGGCGCCCAGGAAGAGTCAGGGCTCCCTAGGCCTCTGCCCCGCTGACCCTCCACCTCCCCCGAGCCCGGAAGTCAGGGTTGGGTGCCGAGACTACAGTGGAGCAAAGACGGCCGTCCAGGAGGATGCGGGCCCCCAGGGAGGACAGCCAAGTGCACGCAACCCCGGAGAACGCCCCAGTGGCAAATGCAACTGCTGGGCCCAGGCCAATGGGACGCTTTGCCCATTTATGTGAGTGGAGTAAGAGCCTGCTCCATGGCAGGAGGCGGCTGAGGGGCTGGACACCCTGCCCGAACCAGAGGGGGCACTGAGCCTCAGGGCCTTACAAACCCAGTTACTGCAGTAGCATCCGTGCCGTGCCCTCTGGTGCTTCCATAATGACGACAGTGACATCACCAGCTACCACCCAGCAGTCGCGGACTACACTGCAGGCGCTGTGCTCAGCAATGATTTTTAACTGAGTACAGCGACATGAAGTGCCCAGGACTTCAGTGTGCAGCTTGATGAATGTCTTACAGATGTAGACATACGAGCTACCTACGTAGGTCCCCTCCGGGCCATGGCAACCAAGACCGAGGTGGGGAACATTCCATCACCTTGGAGTCGCCCTCCTCCCACGCCCCCGCCGCCTCTTCCTGGCCATGACTTCCTCCCTCTCAAACCTGGGCACTACCCGACTTCAACCACCAGAGCTTGGCACTGCCTTTCTGGATTTCAGGGTAATGGAATCATGCAAAATATACTCTTTTGGGGGAAAGGGGTGGTATTGGGGATTGAACCCAGAGTCTGCACTGAGCTATATCCCAGCTCTTTTTTTTTTTTTTTTTTTTTCCCCCCGAGACAGGGTCTCACTAAGTCTCTAAGTCACTCTTACTGGGCTTGAACTTACGATCATCCAGCCTCAGCCTCCCAGTCCTGGGATTTCAGGCATACATGTTCTTTCTACCCAGTGAAAGAACAAACTCTTCTGTCTTACTTCTTCTGCTCAATATCATGCTTGTGAGATTCATCCACATTGCTGCAGATGGTCTTTTTCATGGCTAAGTAGTACTCTATAATGTGAATAAACAATGTACTTGCTCATTCTACTGCTGATGGACATCTGAATGGCTTCCAGTTTGGGGTCTTAGATTCAAGGCTGCCACACAAGTTTGTGTAGGAGTCTCTATGTGGACTTATTTTCATTTTTCTTTGGTAATGATCTAGGATTAAGATTGTTGGGATTTAGGTTAGCATAACTCTGTTAGATCCTGCCAAGCTTTTCCAAAGTGGCTCTACCTTTTTGTATTCCACCACCAACACATGAGTTTCAGTTGTTCTTCATCCTGTCAATGCCCGGTATCTCGGTGGGTTGTAAACTTTTATTTTAACCGTCCTAGTGGATGTAAAGCACATGCCCTGGTCCATCCATCCTCACAAGAACTCTCTAGAGACGATTCCACAAATTCCTGACACTCCTCCCAGGGAGAGGTAAGATCTGCTTCCCTCCCTCTTGATTCTGGGTGGACTGTGTGATTGCTTTGGTAATAAAAGATGACAGAGGTGACACTGTCCGTTTTCATACCCAAGAGACTTGGCAGCTCCCACGCCCATGGATGCCACACAGCCACAAGGCAAGGAAGCCAAGCCAGCCATGAGGAGGTTGCATGGCCCAGGGTCTCTCTGCTAGCCCCCAGCCACACCAGCCATCCATCTGTCCCAGCCAGGGGCCACACAAGGGGGCAAAGGAGCCATGCTGGGCACCGGCCCCAGCAAAAGCCATGGGGCTCGGACCAGCTATCCCACCATGCCCTGCTGCAGCCCACAAAAGGAACTGGTGCTGTTTTACACCACTAAGTTTAAGGTCATGCTATATCATCAGAACCATCATCTCCATTTTACAGAGGAGAAAACCAAAATTCAGAGAAGTGGTAAGCTGTGGCCGGGCTCGTGGCAGGAATGCTCGGACCTGACCCAGCAACAGCAGTATCACATCGAAGGGCAAAACATGTCCCAGCACAAGCAGTGAAGTTCAGTCAAAGAGAGGGACCAAGGGCAGGCTGGAGGGATTAATATGTCAGGCTGGAAGCTGGACTTGGATTTCTAGTAGTCCGATTTTAGCAGAAAGGAAGCAGCTTCCCTCCAATCCATGCAGCAGAGAGCTCGGTTTCTCGGACTTGTAAAGTGATCCATGCCTCTGAGGCTGAGACAGCAGAGCTCAGGGACAGGGAGTGGCCCATAGTGTGACATCGCCTGCCCACACCCAGGGCTCCACTCACCCCTAACTTGGATTGTAAAACAGCTCTAAAGGGGCTGGGGATTTAGCTCAGTGGTTAAGCCGCCTGCCTTGCAAGTGCAAGGACCTGACTTTGATCTCCGGTACCGAAAAAAACCCAAAAAAACAGCTCTAAAGAGAAAATGAGGTCCAAGGCTGTAACGATAACTAGACAGTGACCACAGAGCCTGACACCTGGGCACCAGGGAAGCTAGACGTCGACGTCAGGCCTGAGAGGATTTCCGTAGCACCCGTGGCCTAGCCTCAGAACACTGGCATAGGGGCTGTGAATGCAGAGGCCCCCAGGGGCCAGGGAAACTGCACATTTACCACATAGGCTGGGCACACAGTCTCAATGCACACACACATGGAATCTTCTCGTTGTCCCCAGGAGGCCTGCACATTTTCATTTCTTGAAACACAGGGTGAGCTCCCTGGTCCAGCTTTATCTTCCTGCTTTCAGTAGGGTCTAAAGCCCAGAGAAGGACAATAAAACACACCAGCACACACTGGCCATGGGGTCGGTGAGGCTCCCTGTGGAGCAGCAAAGGTGGGACAAGCTGGAGATCACACTTGCCGCCTGCAGGGGTGGAAGCTGCCAGGTGGGAACAAGCATCAGGGGGCCAGATCTCTGCTTTTCCACAAGAAGCCACAAATCCAGATTTGGGGCATCAAATTCTAAAAATGTCAACACTTGATTTCCACTTTTTCCCAGAAACCTCAACGTATCTTCAGGTGGTACTAGGCCAGGGGTCATCTGTGCGCGACGTCAGCATTAAGTCTTGGTGTGGAGCTAGGGGAACCTCCCCGACATTGCCAGCAATCTTGAGTCTCCTGGAGACTCCCGAGTCCCCTCCACAGGAAGCCCTGCTGGTTTTCCAGGGCTGGGTGCTCTGCTCTCTCCACGCTGCCCACACCCTCCTCTCCAGCCAGATGAGGGTCCCCTTTCACACAGGGTGGACATGAGGACAAAGGTGCCCCTGCTCACCAGTCCACGCCATCTTCCAGGCCTGCCTTCCCTGCTGGCGCTGGCCACACCAGGCCCAGGTACTCTCTCTCCCACCCACTGAATTCTGTCTGTTCCTCCTTCAAACCCCAAATGAATCATCATCTGTTCTGCAAAGCCTTCACAAGTTCCCAGGCAGGAAAGAACATCCCTGCTCTAGAACCCAAACCCACATTCAGATCAGCACTTTGGCCCCAGAGAAGACAGACATTAGAATCCAATCGGTCTCCTCCAGCCTGCCTCAGGGGCTGGAGACAGCTGACCCTCCACACCCTCAAACTCCTCACAGGGTCGGGTCAGGACAAGGGGTCCAGTGTTGGCTGATGAACAAAGTCTTATCCAGGCTGCTAAAAGCCTGTCTGGTTACCCTGCTCCCATCCGGACTGACAACAGAACTAAAAAGTTGGCTCTCAAGAGTTAAAACTATAGGCAGGGGATTTAGCTGAGTGGTTTCGCTGCCTGCTGCACAAGTGCAAGGACCCAAGTTTGATCCCCGGTACTGGGAAAGAAAAAAAAAAGAGTTAAAACTATATAGGTCCTCTAGGAATGTTCCTATCTTCTTCACTGTTATGTCCCCAAAGGCTGGCCAAGGGTGGGCACTGAATGTTCTGCTGCATACACAGGGATAATATGATGCCTGGGACCTAATAGGTGCTCACTAAACATCTGGGCTATCATTACTATTACTCCTTGAATGCTCACAAATGCCTCTTAGCTCTGGACATTGCACTTCACAGAAGCATAAATCTACACCCTTGGGCCCAAGCAGGCAGACATCCTCAGCTCCAGGGACAGGGAGAACCTGATCACAACATGGAGCCTACTCTCTGGGCCTCTGGACTGAAGCCTCCAACCTGGGTTGCTTGTGTGCCTTTAAGAAGCTTGGAATGTGGTAGAAAAGTCCATCATTGCTCCTAGGGGTTCCATCCCTGGTTGGCAACAATCCTGGGGCCCCAAGAATCTAGAGGAGATTTCTAGAGAATTTGTTCCTTGTCTTCCAGCCCCAAAACATTGTCTTCCATCTTCCTTCCCACCAAGCCTAAGGGACTTGATCCCACACACCAGAATAGGAGGGAAAAGATGAGAGGACAAAAGGATTCAGAGAGGAACTTGATGTCCACCCACCACCAGCTATGGCTGGGTGAAGAGGCTCCTCCCAGGCCCCACAGGCCTGACGCCATTTTCTGGCCATCTCCTTGTATGCAGGGCGGCTCTGAAAAGCTGGGGAAAGTTAAATATAGTCCTAGCATCCCCGCTGATCAGCTCCCCGCATTGGTGCCCGAGAGTGCCACCTTGTGGCCCAGTCCCTGCTCCTCGGTGGAAGAGAAACCATCTCAGGGGAAGGAGGCAACCAAGATGGCCGCCTCAGGAAGCACTTGGGGTTGAGAGTGTGTGCGAGAGAGTAAGAAGGTGGGAGGGAGCAGAGAGGAGAGAGTGAGTGGATGGTTTCCTCTCACCGCCGCCGGCCACTACCCCCTTCCTTCTGGTGGCTAAATCACCACCAACATGGCTTCCCCAGAAAACTCCAGGAAAGGCCTGCAGCCTGGCGGGGCCTAATCTCCGGCCTCCCAGGCAGACACTCACCATGTCCGTCAGGCTGCAAAACTCTTCTAGCAGGAGGAGCATCCCCTTGATGGCTGCCTCCACCTCCCTTGCCTGCGAAAAGACAACGTCCTGCAGATTAGCAAATGGTTTCCAGGGAGACAAACACCCTTTTTTTTTCTTCTTTTTTTTTAAGCAAACTAAGTCTTAGGATTATGTGCCCAGTTTCTTCTAGACCCATGTTCCTTTTCAAAAACCTCTGTGGCCTTGTTTCAAATAGTGGTAAATAGGCAACACTCTTGACACCCATCCACAGAGGACTGGTTAAAAACACCTGGGCTATCTATTTTACCTACCGTTCCAAAAAAAACAAGATAAACACTAGCATGAAATAACAAAGTTACCTGCATCCTTCCCATTGTACAGAGAAGGAAAGTGAGGCTCAGAGAGGTGAGGCAACTTATCCATGGTCACACAGCCAACAAGAGCCTCGGCCAGGATTCTAGATAGGTTGGAGTCCACAGCATTCAAAGCCTGCTCTTATAAATACTGCTTCATGCCCTGAGCAGCCACGAAGAGGAAGAGCAAGCTGCAGAGGGGCAGCATGTGAAACTGTCTTTGTAACCATGCAAAAAAATGACCACAGTCCAACAGAGGAGGGCTGGAATGACAAGTGCCAAACTGGCTGTCCTTAGGGGAGGTATTTATATTAAAAAGTTATTTGTTTGTTGGAAAATTCAAATGCTACTGGGTACCATGTAGTCAGTCTGTAAGCCCTGTTGGTCATGCTTGCTTATCCCTGGGGTAGGGACTTGGAGCAGGCTCTGACAAGAGAGACCTGAGTGTCACAGGTTACTCGAAGGGTCCAAAACTCAATAGTTACCAGATTCCCACAGTGACATAGATGAGTAAAGAATCTACTGTGGGGCTGGAGCGTAGTTCAGTGGTAGACACAGATTTAGCATGCATACGGCCCAGGACTCTCTTCAACACCATCAAAAGATTAATAATAATGGAACAATAATGAAGCTAAAGATGTCCTAATGGGCTGGAGATGTAGCTCAGAGATAGAACACGCACACAAGGCTCTGAGTTTCAATCCTAGTATCACAACACTAAAGCAAAAATGTGCTTGCCCAGGTCCTTAGCAGCTGGCCACTAGCAGCCATCAGGAAACACAGGCCTGGGGTTGCCAGATCTTTCCATTTGTCAAGAGGAGCCGGAAATTCTAATTTTATGGGAAATGTCCCAATTTTTAAATTGGCATACATTCAAACAAAAACCTTTGACGTTCCATGGGCCAAAGCAAACACCAACGTTAAAGGCCCTGCCAGCTACAGCCCCTGCTCTTACTGGCTTGGGCAAAAGTCAGCCTGGCCCCCTTCTCCCTTGAGCTACACCGCTTTCCTGACTTACAAGACGCCAACGAGGGTGCTGTTTAATTAGCAGGCCTCATGGAGGCAAGTTCCCCAGACCACAAACCCTTTCTCTGGCTGGCCACACGTGACCAGAGGCTGCTGGGCAGACCCCGCCCCTCACCTGAGTCCTCCCCGACACCCACCTGTCCCCACATGAGGATCAGACAGCGCCAGGGCGGCTGCCTCTAGTGAGAGCCGTCACCACAACAAAATAAACCACTGTGCAAAAAAACCTCTTTCTGGCTGGAGTATAAATAGCACCAAGTTGCAGTTTTAAACTTGAACCTGCATCTCACAGCTGGGACTATTTCTGGGCCTTCGCAGGGAGGCTTGACAGGAGAAGCCGCCATGGGGAGGGAAGGCTGGGGAGTCGGGAGGAGGCAGGAGTGGTGGGCGGGGCAGGGTGGGCATGGGAGAACCCAGAGCCCAGAGCCCAGATGCCTAGGAAGCAAGGCCCTGCCCAGGACCACCAAGGACCAGCTGAACACAACCAGGAGGTCTCCAGAGCACCTTGCTCACAGGAAGCTCATCCCAACCACTCTGGCAAGTTCGGAGAGGACATGGAACAGGGCCAGGGGTGTACTCAGTGGGACAGTGGTGTGCTTGCTTCAGCAGCACATATACTAAAATCAGTGGGACAATGGCCACCACGCATAGACAACATGACTGAGGCTCTGAGTTCCACTCCCAGAGCAGAAAAACAAAACAAAACAAAACACAGTATGTTCAAGACCATCCTGGGTTCAAATCCCATCTTCCCTTCTGCCAGTCATGGGCCCTTAACCCACTGGCAGGGGCCACCCATCTGGCAGGGTGGTCAGGTCAGCCTGGCATAGTAATTGTGGCTACACCGCTGAGCAGAGGGCTGGCGCACAAGTCCACAGCAGAGCTGCTTTACATACCTCTCCCTGGGCACTCAAAGCAGCAGCTAATCACCCCATATTAAGGATCTCATTTGAGTCTCACAAGAACCTTCTAGGTAGCTGCTATTATTTCCTCCTTTTTATGAATTGAGGATCTGAGAGGTTAAATCACTTGCTCAAGTCACACAGCTGATAAACACTGAAGGTAGAATTTGGGCCCGAGTACTCAACCCCAGAGCTGCAATGTGCAGCTACCCAGATGCCCCAGGGAAAGGGAAGACCTGCGTCCCTGGATGGTTGCCCGTCAGCTCTACCCCACCTCACCCACCAGGCACCTAGGGAGGTGCCCAAAGCAGGAAGGAGCAAAGAGCATTTGCTGACTATCTGGCCAACTAAGGGAGGTGGGAACAAGCCCAAAATATTCCCAACCGACAGGAAGGACTCGGGATTAGCCACTCCACTAGTCCCATAAATCACTCGGGATGATTTTCTCCCAAGATAATCCCCTAAGCGGCCTCAGAAAAGAGCCCTGCGGGCTGCAGCCCACACGGCTTTCCAGCCAGCCTTCGAGCAAAATGAATGCCTTGCTGTTCTCTGCAACGCCCTGGGCACCGACAGTTCCACTCCGAGGGGAAGGAGGCAGCGGGCTCACGCCCGCCAGCTTTCGGGGAGTGGCGGCAGAGACGGTGAGCGGGCATCTTGCAACTGCGCGAAGCTTGGCTTTCGCCGCCTTCTCCCACAGTCCGACCCCAGCTTCCAGCTGTGCATGCCAAAACCCAGAAGAGGGCTGGCTCTGCCCACCAAGCGCCTAGCACCAGGGAATACAAGAAGCTCCCCCGCCTATGGTCTTCTGCAGCTCCACAAAGCAAACTCGAAGTCAAACCTTTCAGTTTCCCCGACTTCTTTCACTTCCCACTCCACCCAATCTGTCAGCAAATCCTCAGTTCTACTTGCTTCTCTCCGCCTCCCTGGCCACCCCGCCACAGGCCACAGCCGTCTCTTCCTGGGACGACTGCAGTGGCTTGCTCACTGGTTCTCCCATCCTGTTTTGCCCCCCCCCATTCCCTGCTCTGGGGACCCTGTTAACACCAAGCCTTCCTCTGCTCAGAAGCCTCCACTGGGCCACTCCAGGACCCCTGGATGGCATCACAAGAACAGAGAATGAAGTGGTGGTGGGGATGTGGAGCAGTCAGAACCCTCACCTGGCGCTGGTGGGAATGGAAAATGGCCCAGCTGCTCCAGAAACGAGTCTGGCAGATTCTCACACAGGTACAGAGTTACCCTATGACCAAGCAATAGACCCCAAAGACTTGAAAATGCATGCTCTTGCAAAAGCCTGCAGACATGATCTGTACTGGTCACAAGGTGAAAGCAACCCAATGCTCATGACCTGACGAATGGGCAAATGTGATACATCCACACACTAGAGTAACAGTATCTCATTCAATAAAAAGGAACAGAACACAGACTCACGCTACAATAAGGGTGAGGCTCGGAAATATTATGCTAAGTGAAAGAAGCCAGACATAAAAGGTCCCGTAGGACAGGACTCCATTTACATGAACTGTCCAGAAGAGCAAGTCCAGAGAGACAGAAGGTGATTAGTAGTCGTCTCCATGGAACTGGGCGGAGAGAATAACTGATAATGGCTATGGGGTTTTTTTTCTTTTAGGTGATGAAAATGTTCTGGAATGAGGTCATGGTGATGTTTGTCCAACATAGTGAATATATACCAAACCCCACCAGATTATACACTTTAAAATGAGGGATTTCATGTTAGAAGAAGTATATCTCAATTTTCAAAAATCCTGTCATCTTCCACCTCACTCAGTAAGCAGCTAACAGAAGCTCACCAACCCTAGACCACCCAGACCCTCCACGTCCTCTCCGGCTTCACTGCCTCTGCTCAGTCTCCACCAACCCATCAGCATGTGCTCACCCCAGGGCCTTAGCACCTGCTGTTACTTTAGTGGTCAAACTTGTCCCCCACTTCCTTCCAGCCTTTGCTTGACTCTTCCTTCTAGCTGAGGCCTCCTCTGACCCTGGAGCCCCCTGCTCCCACCCCTCCTGCCCTGCTGTGTTTGTCTCTTTGGCATTTATCACCATCAAACATACTTTAGCTATTTTTCTTCTTTCCTGTCATCTTCCCTATCAGAATAAAAGCTCTGGATACTTCACATTTTAGTATCTTTTAGTCACCTATCGCTGGACTCTAGAATACTGCCTGGCACATGGTAGTGCCTGTGTTTCCAAAGATGGGGCTCCAACTCCCTCCCAGCCCACATCCCGCTTGGTCACAGGATTTTGCCACTCTGGAGGCCCAGGAGAGCTGGAATCCCTCCCTCCTGCCCAAATCTGGGCTGCCTGTGACTTGCTTTGACCAGTAGAATGGGGTGGAAGCAACTGAATGTGTCCTCCAAACTCATGTGTGGGAACATAACGCCCACGTTGACAGTGCTGAGAGGTGAGAGCTTTCGGAGGCTCTGCCCTGCTGCGTGGACTATCGCTGTCACCTCAGGAGTGGGTTCAGTATCTTGAGAGCAGGTCTGTTATAAAAGTGAGTTGATTCCCTCGAGTTCTCCTTCACAAGTGCTCATCCACACAATGCCTTCTGCCTCACTGTGACTTGGCAGGAAGCCCTAGGCCAGATGTGACTGCTCCATCTTGGACGTCTCAGCCTCCAGAGTCATAAGCCAAATACATGTGTGTCCATCCTAAACATCCCATTATAAAAGGATCTGTTATAGCACCAGATAACGGACCAAGACAGCAACACTCTGACTCCTGGGTCCAGGCCTCAAGAGACCTTGCCGTCTGCATCCCTCTCAGAAGC